ACACATTTAAAAGATATTCGTAACCCTTTATTCGTGAATATTTTATGTGTGTGTGCTCGCACGTGCACTGTACATCTTATTGAATAAGTTCTAGCAAGACACCTTAGCTTTAAAAGAAAGCTGAAATTTTATAAATTATTCACTTGTTAAATATGTAAAAAACGTAGTTTTTAAAGTAGTTATTTCACTTGTTATCGAGCAAAAATAAATAATAATATTAATAATAAAAGATAACCAAAGTTAAATTATAATTTCACTATGACTTAAGATAAATTAATGTCGCTGTTATTCTCATAATTACGGATGTTGCTATAGTTGACATCTTAGTTACAGTTTATATTTAAACGGCATTTATTGTTGTTATCAGATTCATGCGTTTCCCTAATTATGTCTACCCAAGTATGAGTTCTTTAAAGAACTTGGTCAATTAGTGAATTCGAAGAATAATGGCAAGGAGACATCTCCTATCATTCTGGCAATAATATTCTAGCAACAAAACTCAATTATCATGTATTTTAATTAAGGAGATACTAAATTATCACTGTTTGGAATTATCTGCGTTATTCAGTCTTCAGCGGTTGAACTTGTATCTGTTTTTGTTTGGAAATGTTATATGGAATCCAAAGAAAGTTGTTACAAAAAGTTGCTTGATATATCAGGCAGCATATATACAGTATAGACTGGAAATGGTTGCTGAAATTCTGAAAAAATAGCTTGAGAATTGATAAACAAAGTTATGTGGAAGGGAAAATCTCGCTCTTCTGTGTTAATATATTAGGATATAAAGTGAAGTCAAATGCTTAGACAGGACATAGGAGATGGTGTTGACATCCGGTTTCAATGGCACAAGTGGATGAAAATGGCGACACATTTCCCCAGACCATATGAGGTTAACCCCTAACCACCCATTATACAGTTAGGTAGACATGAACAACTGGGGTAAGGTTCTTGCTTAAGGACACAACAATATGTCGCGAGCAAGCCTCGAACTTGCAATCTTTCGATTACGAGATCAAAGCACTAGCCACTTAATTCTTATTACTACGTAATGTATTTTATGTAAAATTCTATACTTTTTGTAATGCTTGGGTATAAGAAAAAAAATCTAAACGATTTTTTAGGCAAGTGTAGTGCAATTTTTTAATAGATAAAGTTGTTATAGAAAAATACTTATACGTATGGGTGCTTTTCTTATAGCAAAGCCACATTGGGCTATCTGCCGTGTCCACTGAGGGAAATCGAACCCCTCATTTTAGCGTTGTAAATCCGTAGACTTACCGCTGTCCCAGGGTAAGGGTGCTTGACTCGTAATCTGCGGGTCGCGGGTTCGAATCTCTGTCCCACCAAACATGCTCGCCCTTTCAGCCATGGAGACGTTATAATGGGACGGACAATCCCACTATTCGTTGGTAAAAGAGTAGCCCAAGAGTTGGCGGTGGGTGGTGATGACTAGCTGCCTTTCCTCTAGTCTTACACTGATAAATTAGGGACGGCTAGCGCAGATAGCCCTCGTGTAACTTTGAGCGAAATCCATAACAAACAAACAATTTGTGTAATTTCTCTTCATAGAAACTGTATTAATCCAAATTGTGCTCTCAGGCTTAGATCTTTACAAATGCCATGTATACTTTAGGAATTTAAGAATGTTTAATATAACTACATACAAATTGATCGGAATTTTATTATTTCAATCTGTTTTGAATCAAATATCTCGTTTATATTTTATGTAAGAGAAAACTTAAGACCATAAAATATAGAACTTCAGATTAAAATGTAAAATATAAAACCAGTTTCACCGTACATCATCTCAAATATAATAAAAATGTTAGTAAATTGATTTTTTTTAATTTTATTAAAACGAAATATTAATAATTAAAATAAGTGAACCGTTAAGAAAGTTTTGTTTTGTTTTTAATTGACATATTTCCCTTATCATTTTATTGAATACGCTTAATACAAGACAATGGGCAGGAATTTCTAATGTAACGCTCGTACAGTTTAGTTTGTTCTAGACATTTTAATTTATGTAAGCTATAAATATAATTCGCTTTTTGATAATAAAATCCTACTATCATTAAAAGTTTACATTTAAATATTTCCAAAATTATGCACCGTATAAACCAATTTCGAAAAAACGATGGACGAAGAAACCTGTAAGGTATTTTTATCATTATACGATGTTGGCCAAGAGTATGTATTTAAATGTATGATGAAAGGGATAATCATTCATAAAGGGCGATATATTAACTTTGTTTCTGTTTGCAGTTCAAAGTAGCCATCATGATTTAAGTTATGTCTGGAAAGAGATAGAAATAGATGTGTTTATGACAAAATATTGGAATAATGCAGTATTACTTATTATTCGATAAAACCTTTGTTCTAAAATCAAATATGCAATCGTTTCAGATATTTATACCTTTTCTGCTTTAGAATATTGTTTTTGTTGTACTCACTAAATATTTGACCAGTAACATACCATCATGAGGTGCAGTAGATGACTGTAATGTTAACAGTAGATGATTTAGACTTATTCAGAGAATTGAGTCATTAAAACAGAAGAAACGAGCAGGTCAAACATCTAAACCGATATTAGAAAGGACATGTTTTAATAAAGTTAGTATTATTTTCAACTATTTTTTTTGTTTCTATTATTTTTAAGAGATAATATTTACCATAAAAGTAAGTGAATGCAACATCTGCGTGAGAGAGGAAAAAAATGGAAATAATTAATGATAATTGATAATTTTTGGGTTTACGGGTAGCTTCAAACAATTTCCCTATTTTGTGTGAATGCTCCATATTTGTGGTTAATTTTAGATACTGTAATTGTTTAATAGACTCAAGTTTGAATTTTATGAAGATGGAAAATCTTTTTAGTTTTATGAAGCTGTTAAAGAAGCGATATTTAAGCTTTTTCCATTCGAAGATACCATTAAGTCCATTATCAGTGACAGCAATGCTGAAAGTGATTACAACGCGCAGACAACAATAACTGAATAATTTAAATAGATATGTATACCCCGAAATGATATATGCTTGTAAAAATAACAGTCAAAGAATGAAAGAAGATAAGAAAATAATATTAAGGACTTTTAATTAATGACAGGTGTTCATTTTCATTTAACTAGTTAGCATATGTTTATATGTATATCCTTAGCCTTTTAAATGAAGATGGAACTCTAAACTTCCTTACTAGGAAATATACAATTGCAGTAATGCAATTTCGTTAGAAGAAGGAAAACATTGCTCATTTTATTCTTAACTCTCATTTCCCAATAGACTAAGTAGCTTAAGATGGAATACAGCAAATACAACAAACTTTTTTTTTCTTAGAGAGCACAGCTAATGTCAAATGGCAAACGCTGATAGAATTTAAAAGTTGTCGAACACAAAAACAAAAGCATACAGGTCCGACTTGATTAAAAGAAGAAAAATATTTGCCAAGAATATTCAGATAAAAACAAAAGTATTAGTTAATTTAAGTACACATTGTATAAATAGGTGAAGTGGTAGGATAAGGTTGAAGTCATTATAGGAAAGTTGGTGCTATTACAGAACTTCTAAATTGTCTATCTTTAGCTTGAGCATATAATCTGCATATCGGTTTACCGAACTAGTATAGAATACTAAGGTTGTTTTCAACATATTCCGAAGTCTTGACGATAGCTGATTTTTACAGATTTGTTTTAGCCTGACTAATACTTAAATGTCAGTGGTTAACGTCCTGGGCTGTGGAATTGAGGTTCCGCGGTTCATGTTCCGTTATTGCCGAATAAAAAAAATTGCGCTCTTCACTTTGGTGATGTGGAGGATTTAAAAGATTAGCTGTCAAATCCCACGAATTGGTTTGAAAAGAGTAACCCAGGAGTTGGCGGTGTGTGATGTTGACTACCTGCCTTACCTCTAGTCTATAACTCCAAAATTAGGAACGGTTAGCGTAGATAGGCCCCGAGTAGCTTTGCGCAAAATTAAATAAACAAGTAATGAAAAGTTCGAAGTCTGGATCTAGGTAAACGACACAAAATTTGCACTTAGAATTGAATATAGTACAAGTAGATGAACCAGCATTCGATGTGTGCCATTTTCAAAATAGTGTAATGGAAAATTACACTATCATTACACTATGTATGAAGAATTCGTCAATTTGTTACATTAAGACAATAAATCATACTTTCGTCTAAAGGCTGGGTGTGACTCAGTACACAGTGTGCCTAGAGTGTGAATCCGATTATTCGTGGTTCTCGTTCCATGTCTGCAAAAATGCAATCGGTACTTTGGGACTGCGAATGCGCTATAAGAATGACGACCAAGTCCCAATATTCCGTGAGACAAGAGTAGCCCTATACACAAGTAGTCCTATGTGTATCTTCATCCGAAAATTCTAAAACAAAAGAACAAAGCCTTGTTTGATTTTAGCACATTTATTAGGAGTATGTTCTGCAATTCGTTCACAGATGTAGAAAGAGAATAACAGTGACAAATGCAACATTCCACTTCATCCCAAAGATGCTTAGTTGAATTAAGATCCAGTAGGTATGACATTTGAACTGATTGTCAGTTGCATACAACCGTTTTTGAAGCGTTATCATAGTACGATTGGTCGAACCCTGAATTTTATTGAAGGAGCAGGTCTATTGAGACAAAATCTGATGTCTGTTGCATTTTACAAACCTAATCAGTCACGAGTAATTTTCGGCAACAGTTTCTCCTATGTCAGATATATTCCTTTTTGAGTGCAGCTGTTGAGAGATCCAAGGTTTTTGAAAAACAGATCAAATTTTGTTTGTTTTTTATTAGTAGTAGTAATGTTCGTGCTAGACATATACCAAATGGCATGCCCCTTTGAACGTCAGAGAGAGAAAATTTGCCCTTATAATGAAAAAGATGTGACACGACAGAGATTGAAAAGGCAATCTACAAAAGTCTAGAAATATTTACCTTTTTGTAAAATTAGATATTATAACAATCCATCTTGATAACAAATAATTTACATTTTCTAGGACCCAAAGGGGAGAGAGGTCGAAGAGGGAGGCGAGGCAAACATGGTAATCCAGGATCACCAGGACCTGTAGGTCCAATGGTAGGTTGTAGCAAATTTAGGCCTAAAATATTGACTGTGTGTATTGCAAATTACAGAATACGAAAAACATAAAATAACAGAAACTTTATTTTATTATTGTCGTAGGCTATAAGGCAAAGTTCCAATTACCATTATTAATTTAAACCATATATATATATATATATATATTATTTCCTAAAAATATTGTTTTAAATGTATTTTCCAGCTTAATTAATGAGCTTAGAACACTATATTAACTACTAGGTATTTTGATTTAAAAGGTATCTTCTTTTTATAGTATGGGGACCTATGAATCGTGTTTACAAAACTATTTTGATGTTGCATTGTTTATCTGTGTTTACTTTTCATCAGGGACCAGCTGGACCACCAGGGAAACCTGGATTTCCGGTAATATACTTTATTTTTGTAGAGTTACTAGCTATCGAGTTTAGTCTTAAATAACTCCTTATCAGTAATTACTTCACTACCTATTAGGCTATGTAATGTTCTTTATTAAAAAATTAAAGATATGTGTATTTTATTCCATTGTCTTCTTTTAATGTTGTAATATAATGCACTTATATATTATATTGATGTTTCTCTTTGTCTCTTAAATTCAAGAAGTGAATAGCGAAAATGCGAGAAAGAGAAGAAAAGTTTCTTATTCCTGACATTTATTTATGTACGAGACGAAACACCACAATTAATTGGCTCAAGTAACAAGTCTTTGACCTGGCCTTGCGATACTACTTTGTTCTCTCGAGATCTCGAACAATCACATCGTTTCCTTTTTATATAAAGAATGAAGAATCAGAAACGAGAGATGAATTTCCTTTTCCAGTCCCAAATTCAAATTATCATAATTTCTAATAATCGATGTTTAGGTCATGCCTAGAGTGCTCAAGAGGTAAAAATGTGACCCTCCTCTTCAAGGTCAAGAAGCATTAAGGCCACACTTAGAAATAGAACACCAATGTTTTTGCTACTTTACCTTTTCACACAAACGCATTGCAACCAATCAAAAACTTACAAGAAGGTGGTACTGTTCCTAACCGTTTCCTATTACCAAGAAACACGGCAATTGATTGTGCGACCAAAATGAACTGCAGGATACACTGTTATTAACAGGGGTGATAGTTTAGCAATTTTCTACTTTCTGTAGCTCGGACTGTGGTAATTCAAACTATCACATATTTTCATTGGATGAACGCTATGGACCCTTACTTCTCATATCAAATTTCAAGGCAATATATTAAGAAATACGCGAGATAGAAATTTTGATTGAATTTCTTCCTTTTGTTTTTAATTGTAGGTTAAAAAGCTCTAACTGTGTACCAAATTTGAAAAAAAATCCATAAAAGTTAAATATGTTTTTATATCAAATAAAGCTTCCATACTTTCAGTGCGAAGAAGGAGTCTTGTTTGGTGTAAATATAAGCCACATGTGCAAATGTATTCAACAAAGACCACTTAATTTTGACCAAAATTTTGTACACGCCTACGCAAAATGTCACGTAAGCCATCAGCCTGAAAGTTTTACTGCAGATTCACCTGAGAGTTTTTGTCATTCGGAAGACGACTGATTTAGAGCAGCAAAAACTACAGGGTGAAAACACGTGTAGATAGATACAAACGTATTGGTTAGGCCAGGTAAACGAGATTAGCAGTTTCTAGCTCAAGTTTTCAAAAAAAAAAAAGAATCATACAGGTGGACGGTCATTAATCATTGCCAACTCTTCAGCACAAATTTACTAAATTTTATGAAATTATCGTAATTAATAAGCGTTTAACGTCATGTGATATTAGCTTAAGCAATTAGTATAAATAATGATGCTTGATACGGCTGTACTGAGTCCATGCGGGTGATAACAAGAAACTTTTAATCTAGTTTCCATGACGTTACTATAAAGGAAGTTATTACCATTGTTTTAGAGAGGAAAACTACCTCCATGTATTTTAAAGAATCTGGTTGGTTCTGTAAAGTATAGGTCTGTTCCGAATAATAGGGGTTGCGATCCCAAAGCTAAGGTTGGTTACTATCGATTGTCACTTTCTTACTTGTTGTGGTTTGTTGGAATGTATTGAAAAAATCATGATAGCTAATCAAAAACAACTTAGGTGTGAAAAAAAAGGTGCATCCAAAAAAGGGCTGGGTGTGCAATTTATAGGAATGAAATCAAAACTGGCGGCCAAACTTGTCGCTACACTTATAGCATTGATAAGAATTTTACACTTTTACAGCAAATATTCATTCATTAGTTAGCTAAGCCGCATATTTTGTTTTACCCACCATTATGCTCTAAGTTGAGCAAAAACGTAGCCTGGCTAACTAGTGAACTGCTACGTCAGCGAGGTCACGTGACTAGTATCACGCCACTCCTTCTCGAACCTTCATGAATTATCGGGAGACTACTATATTGAGGGTAGTCTGGTATATATAAGACGCTCACAACGTGACGCAACAAGTGAATGAATAATTGAATGTATGCGGACAAAATATTGTTGGCCACGTGAGACGTGAATTATAGTGTTTGTTATAGAGCGACTGTTGAAATTAAGTGTATCGTAAAGTTGTATTCGGAAAGAATAAACCAGTTTTATTTAAGAAAGGACTTGTGTCGCTAAAGTTTCGTCGGAACGAATTTACGGAAAATTAACTAACGATCAGTCGGAAGTCTACAGGGCTAGGTTTAGGACGAGACTCCGTACTAAAGGGGAGAGCCTGCAAGAGCTGGCACAAGACTTGGAAAGCACGGCACACAAGGCCTACCCAACTGCACCACACGATCTCCTCAAGTTGTTACTGAGGGATCAGTTCGTAGATGCCTTGGACAGTCCACAACTTAAGATACAAGTGAAGCAAGCACACCCCTCTACCATGCAGGATGCAATGGCCAGAGCTCTCAAATTTGAATCCTATGTTAAGTCCAGCACAGAGGTACCGAGGTTGGTACAGTCATCTGGTTTCAAGACCAGAAAAGGTCAGCTTTCAGAGAGGTTTGAGGGACTTTGCTGGCACTGTTATAAACCTGGGCACAAGAGAGCTCAATGTGGAAACTTCAGCACAGGGGAGATGATACATCAGGAAAGGCTGGTATCCAGAAAGGTTGTTGGAACTGTGGAAAGCGAGGACATATGAGGAGCCAGTGTAGGAGGAATATTACCAACAAGTCAGCCTCAAGGAGACCAGTGGTGGTTGGTGTTGAGGGACACTCACCAACCCCCATCGTGAAAGTCCCAACAGCTAGATGTAAAATGCCAAGCACCAATTTAGTGTAATATTTTTAATATTAAGATTGTTCAAGGGACTTCACAAACCAGGAATGGCACAATTTTTATAAGGTTGTGTTTTCAATGTTCCAATTTGTTTGTTAACCAGAGGGCATAGAATGTCTAGAAACTCTGAATTGACAACCATTTTTCTTGAAATGGTTTAAAGCGATGATATAAATACGAGGTAGTATTTTAAAACTGAGAGTTGAATCCGTCAGTGTGTTTTCACG